TTTAAAAGCTTTACAATTTCTATGTTCTTAGTAGTTTTAAATTGATGATTTAACATCCAAAATGTCTCAAGTCTCGAGTTGGACAGTCTTACTTTCTGACCAGAACTTAGGGCCATGGACTGAAGGCTCAATGACATCGCTTTCTTCCATGTCCTTTAGAAGTTTTCCTACCTTTTTCCGTTAAGCAATTGGGATAAGTCTTGGATGTTGCTTAATTGGTGGATTAACCCTGGTATCGATTTTATACTGTTCGACCGTTCTTAGGATATTTTATGATGACTTAGCAAAAATTTCGATTTTCGGCTATGGATCCAGGAAGCAAAAATCCTGTTCTTGCTAGTACTGTATTCGATTTTATACTGGTTCGACCCATGCCAGAAAGATGAGTGGGAGAAAACATCTTGAAATTCTTGAATGACACATTCCATAGCATTCCTCTCTTTATTGTTTTAATTGTGCATTCTGCAATAACTCTGATGCGATGCTCTCCGAAGAGAGATTTTGGGGTGTTACTGTTCATTTATTGTTGTTTACTGGAACACATACTGCAACCAATTCCCCTTTCTGCCTTGTCAGTTACACTAGCAACTGTCACTGGGATAACGGTCCTCGATAGGTCGACGAGTGCTGAGGCTACTGGTACTCCTTTTATGCTGTTACAGTTCTTAGGATATTCTATGACAGCTTAGCGAAAATTTCGATTTTCGGCTATGGATCCAGGAAGCAAAAATCCTGTTCTTGTTAGTACTGTGACATCGTCTTGAGCTATGAATTTCTAAAAATCATGCACATGTAATTTTTCAGTTTCTAACATTTTGATGATCATCAATGAGCTCAGTTTGCATTCAGTTACGAACTGCAGTGGGCACACAAATAAAAGCTTGCACTTTAAATTTCTACCTTATAGTAACGAACAAGTCCCCTCGTGAAATAGACTTCTAGCCCAATGAATAGGCTTATTCTTAAAAATAATCTAATTATTTTAGCATTAAGAAGCCAGTTCAACTCGCCAATTAGTCGATTTAACTTTGTACGGATTTGCCTGTAATGGCAATAGGAATATTAAGATAAATTTCCTGCATTATGAAGATGAAATTGAGGGTTTCCCAGAAGTTTTTATTGCTATACTCTGAACTTGCATTATAGCTAGAAGTGGCATCAAACAGAAAGCTAAATCACTTTTTTCTATAGAAGAAATCTGATAACTAAAATCTTATCAAATATTGAAAAAATTCTGATACAGATAATTGTTTTGAAAATTCTGATTATGATGATTGGAGTGGAAGAGACTTTAGCAATGGTTTGGTTGTTTGACTTTTAATAACACAAAACCTTGAAGGTTATTAATTAGCAATGGTTCGGTTTATTTGATTATAGCACAGCATGCTAAAGCTATTTACATAAGGGGAGAGATGCTTTAGTGAAGGATTTTCTAAGAATATCTGGCTCATATCAATGTTACATTACATGACAAACCTACAGAAATGCCCATTCACCTGGAACTGAACCTAGGTCTAACTACCAGCGTTCAGCAACTTTACTACCTGGCTGATGGTGGGCTTGATTTAGCTGTCCTAAATGTTGCAGAGTATATCATTATATGTTACAAAAATCTGTCATACGCAAGTGTTAAGTACTAACCTATATTCATTAATATACTATAATACGATATGCCTTATTGATTTTTAAACTAATGATCTAGCATGTCTTGTTATATTTTGAAAAATTCAGATTTCATTATATTATAACAGGCTAATAACATGAAAAATTTAACAGCAAAATAAAGCACGATTTTTATTAAATTTACTATCTTACGATATTGTTATATAAAAATCAGTACAAAATAGCAACTTTTTATAAAGATCTCCTTCTGGCTCAGAGATGACATTTTAAAAAGTTCTAGAGAGTCATCTACTCCCACCACAAATCACATGTATCTCGCATATCTGGGAAGAAAATCTTCCAATGACTAAAGGGGTTAACATGCAACATTACCATTTTCGCACGTATTCTTATGATGTATGTATTATATTTCATACGTATTCCAAGTGTCTTATAGACAAACTGATATTTTTTGTCTTGAACTCAATTTAAAAATATGCACATACAAGACTTATTGCAGTGGGAGAAAGTCAAAAAATCTACAGAAATACAATAAACTGCCGTACAATACATAAACAAAAAAATTTTTATCCAAAAATCAACAACAAAATTTACACTAAAGGAGAGATGTTAGTAATGACCTACTGATCTTTCAGGATATACCTAATTAAAGCATAAACATATACAGAATAACATGCAAGAACAAATTTTTCCCAAGTCATTCTTTTTCTTCTTTACAAAATCACCAAACTACAACAAGGCGGTAGCATAATACGCGATACCTACTTTCATTACGTCAAAAATGTCCTTAGTCTTAAGACAAAAACTTAAAATTCACTCCATTAACAGATATAACAAAATTACTTCCAAAGACAGGATACATACTTCTCTTCCAGATGACAAAACTTAAAACCAGTGTAAAATGTTTTTTACTCTAATTTATTTTATTATGGTAAAGTAGATCAGGGCTATCTGTCCACGGAAAAAAGAAGCTTGCATAGAGGGCTTGAAAAGAAACTAATGTTCATAATTATGTATAGGTTAAACTGATAAAAAGGAAAATCTAATATGGGTTATATACAGAAAGAGATGACTTCATAAAGACTCGTAGAAAGTTCAGAATCACCCACTGCTTGGCGCATTTTTAAGAATTGCACACTCAGTATCCATGTACACATCAACCTTTTTCACTTAAAAACGGCTCTAGTGTAGAATTGGGTGCCCCTTCGAAAAGCGATAATTTTTTAACTTTGTTTTAGCTTCCTATTTTTTTTTAATGAAAATAAATTGATGTGTACATGGACAAATTTAAGGCAGTGCGCAATGCCTAGTTTGTGCAATTCTTACACTTTTTATTTTGGTTTTATGTAGCTGCCATCTTGAAACTGTGCCTTCCTGGTGCTGATCTTGGCGTCAAAAAAGAATCGCCAAAAAACAAGGTGCACCCAATTGTAAACGTTTATCAAAAAACATCCCAGGGAAGCACTTCCGCAGAGAACCTGGTAAATGTAAACATCACCAACTTTGGTGATAATAGTTCAAACCTGGTAACCCAGCGTATTTATTCTATTTGCTTGTTCGAAGTTTGCAACCATTCCTCTTGCATTCATTTTGTTGAATTATCACTGTCGTTATTCTCATTTACATATTTATATTACTCTTCTTTTATTTATTATTATTTTTCTGAATTTTTTTAACAACGAATATATAGAAATATTTTTGTAGATAGATGATGGTTCTCGGTTGGGGATGAAAGGAAGAATATATGGCGGGAGGGGTGAATGCTAATTTGTAACACGGCTGTTCACGCCGTGTTCTTAATTATTAACAGCTCTAAGAACCATGAGGTTTCCAACTTCTAAAATAATTTGTTTCCGTAGGCCGCAAAAATGTGCATGTGCATTTTAAATAATCAAGTAATGCTTTTATTTTTATTATTGTCATCTAAAATTATTAGAATAAATCAATTTTTATGGCGTAAAATTTTAACAAGATAAATATGTTAATGCTTTTCTAACAATAAGCTTTCAGAGGATGGCAGGCGTGACATAAATAAAAGATTAAATTGAAATAACAAATATTGATCACCATGGTCATCAAAATTAGCAAACCACTGCTGGTGTAAGGAATATATTGTTTTCTGTGTTAACTGGAATTTAAGACAAATGTTTTTCGTTTATCATGTTTAACTGGTTAATTTCAGTATATTAATACTAATTTATATTTCTTTAATGAATTTTTATTTCCATTATAAATGCTTATATATTGTCTTATGCTTAATATATTCTTTTCTATACTAACTTGAATTTAATACACATTTATATTCGTATATCACGTTTAACCGGTTAGTTTTTCATCTACATGCTTATTATCTATGAATTTTTACTACCATATGCTTAATATATTGTTTTGTCTGGTAACTTGAATTTCACATGCACTAAAAATCACGTTTACAGTTCCGCTCATCGTCGATGGACCGCGAGCTCGGCGAGTAAAAATGCAACGGCGCCAACAGGTTTTCTGTGGATGAAAACCCCATCCCAGAATTGCACAAAAATGGTATTGCACACTCCCTTGACTTTACACAGACCTATTTTCACTAAAAAAGGTCAAGGAAAATTAACAAAAATCAAATTCTTCTTACGCTTGTACAAAGGACCAGACAAATAAGTGGGCGATTCTGCACTTTACCCGAAGAATCTATATGAAACTAACTTATACTTACAATGCACAATGTAAGAAATATGAACACTATTCAGCTAATTCTTTGCAGAGGTTTCAATCCAAATTAAGCTATTAGTGTTTCATTAACTTTGGTACAGATGGGCATCAAGGTACACAGTGAAAAACCACTAAAAGCCCAAGTAGTCAGCCTATTCACGTTGATTCAAACCCAGTTTGAACTACTATTGTTCAGCAGTAGGCCATTTTGAGAATTGGCCAGTCAAACAATCTTTTAAATTTTTGTTTTAAAGCCTTTTAAACACTAATTTATGCTTAAAAACTTGCAAACGTTAAAAAAGTTTGAAATGTACTATGTACATTTCAAACTTTATTAGCCAATTATGTTATTTCCTTTATTAGCCAATTACTAAAAACTTATATAATGTACTAAAATTTATAGAAATTCTCAAGTACTGAAAGTGTAACAATACTAAAGATAACATATATACCATACCATCCATGGAAAAAGTATTACTGAAACCAATTTTTTTTAACTACAATATTTTGTATTAAAATTTTTAGATATTAAATCAAAAATGCACAGATTCATTAGAAATTATATAACAGTGGTAATACATAAGACACTCCAACTTTCTCAATTTAAAATGTTTTTAATACAATAAAATATATTCATTACCCTCTTATTAAGAAACTTTAGTATTGAATATACTTACCTCGTAATGGCATTTGAATTTAATGTCATCCCAAGTCTGTTTGGGCTGCCGGGATTGTGGTTTGGATTAATGAGTGTTTCTGCCTGGACAGAAGCCATCCTGCTTACAGGTAGTCTCAAAAATTCACCCTCTTCCTCAAACGATATTTCCAATTAAGCCACTTCTAGTTCAAGATAGTCGCATGTACCTTCAAAAATTATTACCAAAATTACACTTATTTGCATTAGTTGATTCAGTGCCAGTCATTTCAATTTCAAGAACTTACAAAAGACATTTAAAAATAGTTAAGTATTTGCGGCAATTTTCCTACAGATTTATCGATTAGAAGAAAGTCCTGCATACATTTATTGTATCATGCGAAAATATGGCAAATATGTGCCGCATTTTAGCGTTAAAACTTTCTGAAACTGTGTCATAACAGAAAACAAACTGTTACATTAGACATTAACTTATGTGTCAACATTCCGTTCACTGACGGGTAAAACAAAGAAACAGGGCATTCACCTATGTATATGGCACTCAAGGATATTCACGCCAGTTACTTTCGTAAGTTCAGTTAAAACCCATTATTCAAATACATTCTACATCAACAGATAAATTTTAAGAAAAACTTCATACTTCTATCTACAGAATTTCCACTAGATAACCTTCAGCCATTTTTAATTTGGAAATCGATACTAGTCACCCACAAAAAGGTAGATGTAGTAATAGCAATGAAAATATTACAAACTTAAAACGAGAAATAACTTGTTATCTTTACATTGTCGCTAGAGCTTACCTTCGAACACAGCCTTTTAAAATTGTGGAAATCAATTCACAACCGATTATTAACGATACACCAAACCTTAAGATTGAAGTATGACAATATGGCTGCCCAATTTATTCGGAGTAACCGTGACGTAGAAAATAGTGCGATATTAATACTTTTAACTTCTTGTTAAACATATATATTGTTCATTAGTAACATTAAAAGAAATTTTAACGTGCACAACTATCAAGTTCACTTTTTCACAATTTTTCTAACTCCCTCTACTCACAAAGCAGAATTTCAATAGGACATCACAAGGTAACGGATTAAAAACCTTCAAAAAATATTTGCATGAGAGTGTTATCTTCTTCGCCTAGCAAAAATCCAACTTATATTCTGAAATTAAAGATAAATACAGCTAAAAATAGTAAAATAAAATATTTCGGGCATTTTCACTTGAATGCACTCACTAATTACTAATTCTCTCAAAATTCTAATGCAGCGTTATTATTATTTGTTAACTAATACTCAAGATAAGCACTTTCGGTTTTTATATATAGCTAATAAAACTTTACAGTTATAAAAAAATGACATTTAGCATTATAATTTTCAGAAAAGCTTGACAAAATCAAAAATAAATCTAAGTTTAATCATGTGTAATTTTTTTTAAAGGTACCTTTATTTGAAAAAGATTTAAATGATTCTTATTAAAGTATGCATCTCAAATGCTACGATAATATGTCGGAACAAGCGCAAAATAACATGGGCATCAAAATTTATTCCCTCCAAAAAAAATCATTCTAATTTTCCTGGCGCATTAATGCAGAAGTAAAATTACTCTACTCCGGAGTTTTAGCGCAACGAAACACAAACTACAGATAAACAGACAGCTAAGAGAGCAGGTAAACCGCGATCGCTTGGATGCCGCTTGTCAGTTAGTAAGAACAGCGCAAAGCGAGAGGTCCTGCTAAACATCGTTCTCGTTTAATTAAGTAATCCATTTGAAAAAAAGTTAATATGATTGTGTTAGATCCTGCATTTGAAGGAGTTGGACAGGAACCAGGAATTAAAATATGGAGAATCGAGGTACGTCTGTCACCACATATATCATTTTAAATTACCAGCCTTGAAATGAGAATTTATGCAATGAAATGAAGAAAAACCGGGATTTGATCTCTTTTAGAATCATTTTTCATACGTATGTTTTTATCCGATGACTAAGTCCAAAGAATTTAAAACAAAGTATTAAAATTTTGATAGTGATTGTGATTTTGACAGTGGTTTTCTTTTCTTTTTTTTAACTTTGAATGGACTTTTCAATAACAGCATATTATCTCCATAAGCCCTTAAATTAAACAATATTTTCAAAAAATTATTTAAGAACACGTATTTTAAAATAAATGTTAAAATCGTTAAAAGTTTGTATTATCAAATAATTCATCAAGAGCCTGACTGATATATTTTATGAATCTTGACATTTATATAAATAGAATTTCAGGATTCAGTTTTTATTCTATATCAGATATATAAATTGTTAGTGGAATTTAGATATATAAACTGCAGATATATAAATTGTTAGTAGATTTTTTTTATTTTATTCTATTGCAGATATATAAATGTACTGATTGGTTTATAACAATAAAATATTATTTATGATGGATTGAAAAAAATAAGCATTAATTTTACAGCAAACTAAAATTTCATTGTTTTTAATAGGAATAATCTAAAATATATTTATCTTGGTGTTGTAATTAAAAAAATAAAAGTAGATGATTTAATGATCAGTACAGAAATTTTAAATAAGTACTGTAGACTAAAAAAATGAAGCATTTGCTTGTTTTGTATGAATAATCATTCGTCAGTATTAATAACATTTTTTTTAATTTTAAAAATGATGTGTAATAAGCATGATGATTCAGCACATATGAAGACCTTCCTTTAAAAAAAAGGAAGCAAAGCATCACCGCAATTTTTTTAAAAACTATTTTATGTTGATTTTCATATTCTTAGTGAAAAATTATTCTTAAATTTTAGTTCCTGTATTATTTCAACAATAATTAAGATGTAAATTTTATTATTACAATAAAATCATTTAGATATAACGGTATTGCATCATGATTAATATGTGAAATTTAAATGTTACTTACTGCCTTACTGTTATTAAGATAATAATGAACAGATATACACTGGATTGTTTCTGACATCTGTGCAGAGGAGAATCTAATCTATGATTTCTCATTCTGCTGCTAAAAGATTTAATTGAAATTGCAGAGATAGTCTCTGATTTTATTATATTTTCTGCTCTAGTTTGTAAGAGCATAATAAATTTCAACATTTTTAAGATGGTAGAAAGAGACAAAATATAAGCAAATTAGCTGAAGTTTCTAAGTTATTTTAATTTTGTTTTCCATTGGATCAAGTTTTCCCTCCTTTTTCATTCTACAAAATGCTATGGTGATTTGAAACTTTCAGTGAAAGCAGAAATATCGATTAGTATATATTTTCGTTTGTCTGATGAATTACAGCTGAATTTGATTAGTTTTATATGTTATACTCATGATACCATTAGACAAAACTAAAAAATTATGTATGATACTTAATATAATGAAAGAACACTTGTAATTATATATATATTATGAAAAATGTGATCAATGATGTGATTATAAATAATGCCTGAGTAATATATGTGTAATGACTTCATTATTTAAGTAAGCAATATGCATGATGACATATGCATCCCTTGATCTGTACCTATATATTAATAAAAACGTATTAAATTTAATATAAATGAGAAAAGACTATTATGGCATAGAAAGCTTAAATAATTTTCATAGACAAGAAAAATGTATTATTTAGGCATTTAAATAGACTTATGTACGCCCCTGTTTGTAATATTTAATGCATTTTTGTTAATATATATTACATTATTATAGAAATTATACTGTTGTAATATTTCTGTTAATATATTAATATTAGAAACAAACTACTTTTAGAAATTCTTATATAAAAGTGCCTCGTTCATAGCCATATAATCATCTGTTTTTTACCATAATTATATCTCTAATAAATTTGTCGCTAATGTTCGGTCTGTTACAATAATAGAATGTTTAGTGATGTATGGTCTTAAAAGAAAAAAAAAAAAGTCGCATTCTATAACATAATAAAGCACTGCATTTAAAACTCCATGTCGATAAACCTAGGCTTAATTTTTCCAAATTCACAAATAGTAGCTCTGCCGTAATATATTTTTGTGCCCTTTAGTGTATCAAGCTCAGTTTTTTTATTATTATTATTTCTTTTAAGGAATAATTGCGCTCATTTATTTATCTATATCCAAAATACAAAGTAAGGAATTATATATTTATGTAAAAATTATTCTTATTTTAATTTTCTAACGATTGGCCGTTTTATACAGATACAGTTTTTATATAAATAATCAGAATTTCTTGAAATTTTAATGAGCCAGTTCAGATAAATCATGCATGAAAGCAGGAAAATCATATTTTTATGAAATCAAAAATGTAATTACAGTAAAAGCTTGACTGTCCAGAAAGCTCGGGACATGCCGAATTCCGTATGTGGAAAAATTCTGGATAATTGAGTGTATAGAAATGTAGTTCGCGCTAGAAAAGCCAAATAAATGGAAGAAAAAATTTCCGAGACTTATGTCAGACATTCTGGCAGAAATTTGAAGGAATATCTCGCTCTTAGTTTAATCAACATCTCGAGAATGCTTTGATAGCAGAAAGATGCAAAAGACGCCGCTATCAGCTTGCAAAAGACGCCTCTCTCATCTAGTAAGACGAATTTGTGACTGCACCAGGACAAGTCCCTCTTTGGCATCCCTGAAGCATCGAAGTGACCTCGGTCTTTTCGTGTGATACAATCTGACTTTCGAACTAGCATACTTGCTTGCCAGCACTATTGAATTTCGCCTATGATTCTTCTTTGATTGTTTTGAATGACTTAATGTGATATTTATCTTTGTAATTTTTGCGTATGTGCTGAGCTAATATATTTTTCTAATCTAATTAAAGTTGTAAGGTATATCCTAGTTTTATAACAGTTATTTTAAAGCTCCTTTCCCGTCTCATCTAGCTTGAGCTTATAATTCCTTACCAGAATGAGTTTTTAGAATCGCTTTTAAATGCAAATGAGAAGTAGAGAGTATTTAAATCAATGTTCTGACTTCGACAGAGAGAATTAAAATTTCTGAATAGAGTGCGTTTGTCTTTTGGCTACCGTTTCATTTCTAATAACGAAGATGTGGAGGTTATTGCATTAATTTGCAAAGGTACTCCGTAACATAACGCCTTGGTCCTTGGTCCTTTTGGCTACGTCTCTCTAAGCTGTTACTAAGCTCGGTCGTCCTTGATAGCTTTGTTAGCTACTAATTTAATATTAGGGGCAACTAGTTTAGAAATTGTGTTAGCTTCGGCTAAGTTTCTTTAGTTTGTCATTAGTTCTTATTTCTTACATTTAGTTTGTGAGTTTAAGCCCACGTGGAGGCATTGTTGGATGTCCTGAGAAAAGGACCATCTGTCAACTTTATTTTGAGCAATAAAGCTTAGCTTACCCTTCTTGAGTTTACGTTTCTATTTTTGGACGTAAGCGATTATTCTTTTAGTAGTTCACTAGTTTCCTCAACACTTAGTTAATAGATAAAAGTGTGGATCCCTACAAAATAGTAGAAGTAAAACCAGGCATATCATCCTCATCTTTGCATTAATAAATATCTCTATGAAATGGTGACTCTAATCTCGACTAAGGTAAGACGTGACGAACAGACTAACATATACAAGTTAAGGACATAACATATAAAGAATTAAATCGCTTGTTATAATTTTTCACTTTGCACACCTAATGTTTATCCATTTAAGTCGCATTTTTCTTAATGCCAGGATTCCATAAACTTGAAAATAGTCTATTGCATGCCATTCCGTTGAAGACAAGTCGCAAATTTTAATCGTTTTTCAAAATGGTATTAAAAAACAGATAAAGAGCAGTTAATTATATACAAAAATGAAATCGAATTATCGATAATTATTCGGATTTCCTAAAGAAAGCGTTACGCCACGGTTATCCATTATTGGCTCTAAATCACACTGTTTGGCATCAGTTTCTGTTTGACTGGAATCGTAAAACTATTCGTGCTTTATAACGGAGCTATGATTTTTTTTTTTTTTTTTTTTTTTTTTTTTTTTTTACATTTAAAAAAAGTTTTTAAAATTCGAAAATATTCCGGTTAGTTGAATGCCGGGTAGTCGGGCTTTTACTGCGCCTTGAAATTCTTGTGAAGTTATTACTTTCTTAAAATCTATGAATATAAAGTTAGATTTAATAAATACA